ATGAGGAGCGGCTGAGGGAGTTGGGACTGTTTAGTATGAGGAAGAGGAGGCTGAGGGGAGACCTCATCACTCTCTACAACTACTTGAAAGGACACTGTAGAGAGGTTGGGGCTGGTCTCTTCTCACAGGTAATTAGTGACAGAACGAGAGGGAATGGCTTCAAGCTCCAACAGGGTAGGTTTAGACTGAACATTAGGAAAGAATTTTTCACCGAAAGAGTAATAGGGCTTTGGAACAGGCTGCCCAGGGAGGTGGTGGAGTCACCATCCCTGGCTGTGTTTAAGGGCCGTTTAGATGCAGTGCTAAGGGACATGGTGTAGGGGAGGACTTTGTAGAGTAGGGTAGATGGTTGGACTCGATGATCCCAAGGGTCTCTTCCAACATAGACGATTCTATGATTCTATGAAAGAGATGAGGCTTATCCCACCCCACGGAAAGGTGAGGTGATTCCATTAGGAGCCATGGCGAGGAGATAGATGTGTTCCCTGGCTGGAACACAGCTCATCCTCCTTCTGTTAGTGCGCTCTGAGCAGGTGCAGAAGTGTATTTTTTTCCCCAAGGTGTACCATGAGGATGTGCTTTTGGGCAGCATGCAATTACTTTGTAGCCTAATGAGGTGAGATGAGGCAAGAGCAATTTCATAAGGCTTTGTGGCTCAAGGAATAGAAGTCCAAGTTGGATGGAGCCCATTCTGGCATGCCATCCCTCCTTTCCCTTTCTCGTGCTTCTAACGGAGATGCCAGGTGAAAGGCTGTGTCCTCTCAAAGGACCCCCAAAATCAACAGGCTGTCATGTCACGTAGCGTTCGTGGGTTTGGGTTTTTTCTTGCCAAATCCACTAACTGCCTAATAACCTGGGCAGACCTGTGTTCTCTCTCCATCTCTCTCCTAGGCCTGAAGCTCCCCAGAAGGACAGGGTCAGTGGCCCTGCAGTTACCCGAGGGCTGCTCTGCGCTTCCCGAGGCTGTGACTCCAGCACGGGATGCTTTGCTGCAGGGTGGAGGACAGACTATCAAGACTCAGCTTGTGGCAGGTGTGAAAAACTGTTGGGGTTTGTGTTGTCAAACTGCCTTGATGCTTTTCTGATCAAGAAGTAAGCTTCAGTACAAGAAATTCGCCATGCAATACTTCTGTGAGAAGAATTTTTGATGGACTCCGATAATTCACGGGAATGGATTTTTGCATAAGAATTTCATCTCCAGAGGCTGCTGTGAGTCTAAAGCATTTAACTGGAGCAATTACCCAAGTGTACCCAGGAACCCTCTGGTTCGCAGGGGTGTTATTAGCCTCTCACAGGTAGAATATCAGCTGTGCACAGTACAGTAACCAAACAGCTTGCGTTCACGAGGCATGATCTGTTGCCTGGGCCACTGAGCGTACCGGGCCGAGGATACACAGATGAAAAGCGCATTTTCACCTCTTTTAACTTTCCCATTGCCAGGGGTTCAACCCAGATCTGCTTTTCAATTTTACCACATTTCGGGAGCAGAAATCATTAATTAGGCCTAATGAGGATGAGTTCAGCTGTTAATTTTTAATTCTAGAGCAGACACAGACACTTCAGAGGTTTAAAGTTTTTCGGATTGCCTTAAAACCAAGACAGCACAAGAGCCTCACCCCCTGTCACTGCGCTGGAAGCAGCCAAGACTCATTTTGTACAAAGGCAAGAGCAACTGTTTTAATTTTAGAGGCGTTTTGCTGATGGGGTTCTGCCGGCAGGCGAAGCAGTGGGAAAAGCCACAGTGGCAGGAAGTTGCCCTGTTTGTACCACCATGGTTTTACCCAAAGAAGCCGGGTTTTAGGGCACATGTAGGCACCCCTTTTGCCTCCGGTTTAATGTCTTGAAGGGTTTCAGCTTTGCCAGCAGGTGGCACAGGCCGATCAGGGCTCTACATCTCCATAGTGGGAAACACTCCTGGAAGGGGATATGGCGTTTTCCTGGCAGGATGACTGGCGTGGATGGGGTTTTAAAAGGAGAGGGGAAGTGCTTGCAGCCTGTGCGTGCATGTGTAGGCTGGGAGAGAAGGGAAGGGTGAGCTCTCTATTTCAATCCATTCTTTGTTTCCCCAAGGTTAAGCCCTGCTTACCAGAATAATCTTATCAGCTGAAACCCTTTCAACAGAACTGGGCCCTTAACAAAACCGAGATGCAGGCGCTTTGAAATATGGTAGAATTTAGGCTATTGTATAGTTTAGTTATACATAAGCATGGCTAAACAGGCTCGGGGGGGGACGGGGGAGGGAGACCTTTGAAAAATCTGGGCCTCTGGGTTGTTGTTTGTGTTGCTGTTTTAATTTACTGGAGTGCAACTGATCCTTCTCAGAAGAAGCTGGGCACTGTACGCAGGGCCTGACCTGAGTTACACCAGAATACCTGTAATGACTGCAGCAAAGCTATTCTGGATGTTTACCAGTTCAAAGCCTCATTTGAGGGCTCTGATCTTCATAGGGATGTCACTTTCTGTCGCTGAGAGACAGATGATTGACATTGGATTTTTTTTTTTTTTGATGTATAACAAAGTCTCAGAGTGGAGGACGTGGTGGAAAATAATGGTGGTGAAATCTCTATAACAATAAAATGTTTCTTTTGACAATTTAGCTTTTCTAATAGTAAATGCTTTCAAAAATAAAGATTGTTGCTGTTTTTCTGCGCAACACAAGAAAGGGTTTTGACCTAAGGCAAAAAGAGGGAGTTCAGTATCACTTAGAGAGTACTCAGATGATTGTCTAGGAATAGCCACAAGGTCTACATGCTGTTTTCATTCATTGTCCAATATTTCAAGGGAATTTGTTATAAAGAAAGAATGGTGTCATGTACAGCTCTTTAAATAAACAAAAGGAAAGTGGCACAGATCTCTGAATGATTAGGTGGTCCCCAGCTGCTGCTCACATAGACAGAGTAGCAACTGGAGGCTCAATTAAATTTCTTAATTAGAATTTAGCACAAAGTTACTCAGATTTTATGAGCTTATAGGCTGCATTGCCAAGAGCCACACGTGTTTTATTTAAGAGGACATAAAAAATGTGGTGAGTACAACTTATTAAAGAGCCACAAGTGACTTCACAAGAAATAAGTAAATGGCACCTCAAAGAGGTGTAGAGTTCATTTGATATTTTAACCTTATGCCATCCCCTGCTCAAATAATGAAAATCTCGAGTTTAAAGAGCAGTTTGGGTAAGGCCTGATCCTGCAAAGCTCTGAGCAGCCTGCACTAATGACTGGAAAGGGCAAAACCCTTTGCGATTCTCTGCGTATTTGATACTGAGTTTTCACCACCACACAAACTGCCCAGTGCTTTTCGCTCTGTTCCCGGCAAACCATTAATGTAAGCCAGTCACTTTTAGAAAGTTAAACTCAGTTTAATCCTTTTTCTCATTATTACTTTGCTGGCAACCTTCCTTTTGCACTGTCAGTTTTGTTCTCGTGCCAAAAGCAATACCCAGTAAGGAAAAAGAACATTTCAAGCCTTCACTAACGGGTTTCCTTAGCTGACCATCTTTCTCACACAGCCTAGCGACATCCAGTATGTCATCACTGGAAGGACACTGGGCTGGATTGTGGAGCCCACTGCTCCTTGTGAAAGCTATAAAGTTCACTGCCAGATAACAAGACTGAAAGCTAATTCAGGAACTGTTTCTCAAGAGCTATCCTCTGGCCCCCCTCATCAGAGTGAATGCACTCACTCACTGAAGCATCTCTTGGCAGAGATTTTGGCCTCTCTCCAGCTGTTTCTCTCTTCTCAGGGATTTTCTTATTCAGTGGCTGGTTGTGGTCTTTAATCCTGGTTATCTTGCACACAGAGCCCCTGAGAAAAGAAGTCTTCCCTGCCATGGAACAGTCCAATTAAAACAAATTTCTAAAAATAATAATGACAAGGTCCAGTCCTCCCTATGAAATTATCTTTTTGGAGGGATTTGGAAGCGCAGGCATTTTCTCTTGACCCGTGTGACACTAAAATACATACATCATCAGATGAAGCTGAATTTACGTCATGTAAAACCAGTAGGACTCTTCACTGAGCTTACTCACCCCCTTGATGGGGCATGCGTACTTTGAAAGCATTTTAAAATAATTTTATAAGGTATTTTGTGCTCTTAATAGACGCCATCTAGCATTTGGTAGCATGAAGCAGATACCATCTGCAGTGACTCCGTAGGCAGTGACTAAACACGAAGCTGCAGACTCCAAGACTCCGGTCTTGTTGCTTTTCAGCGGAAGGAGAGAAGTAAATGGCCATGAGGGGAAAATCCCCATCCTAAAATGACAGCAAAGAGAACCTAAATGAATTATTTGCCTTGTAGGATTAATCACATCTAGGCAATCGAGATAGAAGGTACAGTCAAGCTGTTCCTGCATGCATAATCGTGTATCTTGTGATAGAGAATATTCTTTTGATATGCACAGACCATGGCTCTTGACAAGCTGTTTGGGTGATGCTTTTCCATCAAAGAAAGATTTTACAGGATTCTTGCTATTCACATCCTTTCTGTATTAATGATGGCAACTGCATAACTTTGCTCATTAAAGATATTTATGCTCACTTTTTCAAAATGAACATATAGCCACGCTAACATATTGCAGCACCATTCAGCATTTGCTCCTGCTGTAAGTGTTTCCTTTTCAGAAGCCTTGCTAAAGACTTTATCTTTTTTTTTTTTTTCTTTTTTTTTCCCCTTTAAAAGCTGCCTATACGGAAGGTTTTCTGAAGTTCTCTTGAATTGCTTACTCACGTCTGACGCAGCACTAGAATCGTGGAAATTCCATGCAAACAGGATGTCTTGGGTTAGCAACCACATTGTTCAGATCTGCTCAGAGCATGGTAGGTGGTACTTGCTTATTTGCTTCCCGTAGTACATTTGTATTGCTACTAGACAATATGGCACCTTCTAGAAGTATTTTTGAACATCTTCAGTGCTCATCCACACGCACAATTTTACCTGTATTGTCAAAAAGATGGAATTCCTCTTGGGTGAGCAGTTAGAGCAGCATAAAAATGCTTATGTTGTAGTATTTATACTGGTATGTCTTGTTCCTAGAAGGGATAATATTACAGTGTGATTAGAGAAGGGAGATTTAATCACTGACATTGTTTTAGGTAGCCAATAGGGGAGAACGATGTTAAGCCTCCGGGTATCTGCAATGAGGAGATGGAGTTTGCATTATCATGAGCGCGTGTGTAATATACTCTCAGGTCCTTAGGGGATAGCGTGCTATCCTGCCGTTCCACCAGGATCCAGCCAGGAAGGATCTTGGCTAGAAAGGCACGGCTGGCAGGAGAAGTAGGCATGGCAGGAGCAGCCAAGTCCATTAATCCTGCGTATCACCCAGGAGCCCTGCTCTCACTCTTACAGAAAAGAAGGAAAGGGTGAAATCGGGTTGGGTTTCTTGGGGGGTGCTATGAAGTCTCTCCCAATTCTTCGTTATCCATAAGGATTAAAGCCCCTTGAAGCCTTGCTTCCAGCATCAGGCCTTGGAGAACTAATTTCCCCCCCTCTCATGGAAACTCTCTGTGGGAAGACTGAGCACGCGGAACGTGACTGGGACCCACAGCGCAGCACTGCGAGTGTGCAGTTTGCTGTGTCAGATGCTCAGCTTGTCTGTTAGGTGACCTGCGGGGTCATCTTCCTTTCCTTTCCCACCACAGCCCCCTGTCCCTTTGGTCACCAATGACTATACGGGGAGGTCAAGTTAGGGAGAGATACAAACAGCCGAGCAGAGAAGCGGTAATGGCAACAAATCAATTTAACTATCTAATAAATATTTGTAAAAGCTATATATAGCTGAAGCATACATGAGAACGTTATTTACAATAGCATGTCCTGGCCTTTTCCTTGCCAGCCCTCAAATACTTTTCATTTGGAATTAGAGCATCTTTATAATATGGGAGTTGTTCCTCAGACATCAAGGTTTAGGGCACCATGTTTTATAATTATTTTTTTTTGGTCAGAAATCCAGAGAGCGAGTAAGATGAAGAGTTACACTGAAGCTACTGGGAATGCAATATTTTAAGAGCTATGCCAGGTCAGGAGTGTTTTCATTAAATCAGAAGAACACCCAGGACTGGTAGAAACGTCTTGTCTGTCTTGTCATTTTGGAACACGTCTGGGCTCAAACATCACCGTGCCGTGCTGCTGGCTGAGAGCAGCAGCATGAAGGGAATTGAGAAGCAACGGTGAGAGGGGAGGCAGCTCCGTGCTTTGGTTCTGCTTTCCAAGCACAGGGGGGGTGAAAGCATCGGTCTGAAACTCGGAGTCAGCATCACGCTCGTGCATCTGCCTGAGCACCTCCTGTGAGAACTCGGTAGATGATTTTTGCACACAACGTTCTGAAATTCCCACCGATTTCAGTCGTTTTATCTTCTGGATGTTTGCCAGCCAACATTAAGGCCCATGTTCTCTGCTGCTCTTGTTTCTCTGCTCGAATCAGAAACAAAGAGGAACAAGGGGGATGGTGCATGCAGGGAGAAGATAATGATGCAGAGAAGCCTCATGGAATCTCTGCATTTCAATTTCCTGAGGGTTTTGGTTTGGGGTTTGTTTTTTTTTGTTTTTTTTTTTTGCAGCTGAACGCTCCGGGAATTGTTCTGGCTCACATTTTGGATGAAGTAGCTGCTTGAAAGTCTGGAAAGAGGCGGCAGCTGTTGGAAATACACATTCCAGGTAACGCACCCAGGCCAGGCCCTGCGTTTGCAGCCACAGGGGTGCCACACGGGTGTCACAGGCAGTGGATTCCAGGGGAACCCATGGGTGACTGCTCTTTGAAGCGCAGCCACCCTCCCTCCCGAATTCATAGAATGATCTAGGTTGGAAAGGACCTTCAAGATCATCTAGTCCAACCATCAACCTAACTCTGACAGAAAAACCATCACTAAACCATGTTCCCCAGTGCCATGTCAACCCGTCTTTTGAACACCTCCAGGGATGGTGCCTCAACCCCTTCCCTGGGCAGCCCATTCCAATGCTTGATAACCCTTTCAGTGTAAAAACTTTTCCTAATATCCAACCTGAACCTCCCCTGGTGCAACTTGAGGCCATTTCTTCTACTCCTGTTGCCTGTGATTTGGGAGAAGAGACCGACCCCTGCCTCTCTACATCTCCTCAGCTGGGAAAATGGAGGCGGGCTGGTGATTCTTGGGCTGAAGGAGGGAGACCAGAGAACGCCTTGGATCTCAGATAGTCCCAGTCGTGGAAGTTAAATGTGCATTTTTCCCCACAAGCCCGGCCATGACTGGCGGAAGACACGACGTGCTGTGTTTCTGGAGAGCGGGCAGGTTTGACGGCAGCCCCCGGGGAAGGCGACATTGATCACACCTGGCTTTCTGAGGTGAGAAACCAAGACGGGCCAGCGGGAGCCATTCTCCTCGGCCACCCCTCTCGCCCTGGGCTCGCCAGGGGGGCCTCCCCACCCGGGGACGAGTCCCCACGGCGGCCATGCCGGTGACAAGCTTTGGCCAGGCGCCTGCCCCTAAGCTCTCCCTCACGGGGGGGAGGCACGTCCCCACCTCCCGCGTCAGAGGGACGCCGGCCGGAGGGTCCCCGGGCGCCGGGCGGGTTCCTGCCCCGAGGCCCCTCAGGCCGGACCGGCCGCCGCCGCCGCCCCGGTAGCAGCGGCCCGCCTTTCCGCCGCGCAGCCCAACCCTTGGCCGCGCCAACGCAGCCTAACCCCCAGTGGGGGGGGGGAGGGGGCGGGCCTATCGCCGCAGCTGGCACTTCTAGCAACCTATCCTGGCACGCTTCTCCTACCGCTCCAGCCAATCAGGAGCGGCAGCAAAAGAGTGGGGGCGCCAAAGCCCCGGCGTGAATAAAACACCCGGGACCCGTGGGCGGAGAGAGGCGTGGCCGGGGTGTTGACGAGCAGTTCCTCGCACCAATCCAAAGGCAGGATGGCGGAGCGGGTGGCCAATGGGCTGCCGGGATGGGCGTGGGCCGGCCGGGCGGGGGCGGGAGCAGTTGCCGGGAGG